CTCAACTTTTCATTTTTTGGGGGTTTTCCCTTGAACCTCCCTCTCGCACTGTAATATTGCAAAAGGTACATAAACTAATACAAAATTGCAAGAAGAAACCTTTAGATCCAAGATCAAGGGTTTGAAGGATTTATGTTATATAATTATTGGAGAAGAATGATGGTGACTTTGAACTGAAAGAAAAGAAAAGCAAGATAGTGCTGTTAAATGCATGACATTATGACACATTTAAGAACTCCGCTTCCAAACACAAGAATGCCTCAAAATCTGTTAGACGGTCATGTATTTAAAAAAAATGTCAGAAAGTTATTCTCTAAAAAAACCAATTAAAAATAAAACTGAAAAAGGGGAATAAAATCGTATGGTGGCCAAATGCATAAATGTAATCCTGATTCTATAAAAATAGATAAATCATTTGGTACACAAAAAGGAACTAAAAAACGGACACTAGAATTGATTCTATTCCAACACTCATGTACAGCTTACTCCAATAATACATGTCTGAATCGAGTTAGATACTGCTCTGATTATCTAATTAGTTGATCAATCAAGAATCTGCTCCTATCGACACTTCGGTAACCATATTTGTCCCCCCAAAAGCACCCTAGACGTCTGAAAGGCCATGAATATTCTTCCTGCTTATTTTCATTCCTCTTCCTGTTCCAATGCATGGGGATTGCAGTGTTCACATTGGTTCCTGAGAATGAAAAAAACCCTTGATTAATGATTACATTCTTCAGAGACACGCTTCTTTTTTCTTGAAAATCGAGTATGAACCCATCTCCACCTTTCGACGATCTATCTACTTAAAAAGTCTTACATGATAACTCCTTATCTAGAGAGAAAAAATGTATCATGACATGTTGTGTACAATTGCAGATAAGGAGTTCACTTAAATATCTTCACTAAATACTTAATCCAACAATTTGTCTACATTTGCAGTCATTCTGGGTACTGGTTTAAGAGAAGTTTGGGAACAAACGGACACTAAAGCGATCTCTTTATTCAGTGAATGCTTGGATGTGACTGAATGCTGATCTTAGTTTATTAAGCCAAGGAATCAAGGATGTTAATATATCTCTGGTTGTTATGGTCCATGGATTTTTTGTAATCAACGAATCTGAGAAGCTTGTTCAATGAGAGCATAACCTATACATATACCTCTCCTCCCAATAAACTAAACCAAACTGACCCACTAAACCGTGCTCGAGAGTAGGGGCGGGGGATGTACGCATGCCTAACCTCTACCCCAAAAGAGTAGAGTGGTTGTTTTCGTGAAGACCCCTGATTGTGCAAGAGTGTGAGCAAATAGGTAGAAGGCATGAAATCTAACATATGGTGAACCCAACATGAGAGAAATAAGAAAAAGTACAAGTGGGGACATTGAAAACATATGAAAAGGTACGGCCAAAAACACATCTCTAGCCGAACTACACTAGTTACAGGTTCCCATACCTAGTCTGCTACCCTGGCTTTCCGTCTCCACCTCCAAGTACTCCTATCTGAGGTCATGTCCTCGGAAATGTCCAATGCCGCCGTGTTCAACCTCAATTGCTCATCCTACGTCCTCCTCACCCTCTCAACCATCACCTTTCTACTCTCCCAATTTATTTTGTTATTGGAGCAACTCCCAACTCCGGCCAGAAAACCGCGTTCGGAATCCAGTCTAACCTAGTCCGAACACACGTCCATCGAAGCATCCTCATTTCTACAACTTCCAACTTCTTCTCAACTACCTTATTTGTGGCACAATACTATGACCCTACAACATAGCTGGTTGGATGGCTACCCTATAAGGTTTGCCCTTCAGTTTTAGTGGAATACAAAACACGTCTATGGCAAGTTGGCAACTCTCCACTTAAAGCCTCCCTGCTTTTATGAGATGCTTTGCATCTTCCTCTACCTCCCCACAAATATAGACTAAAATTACAACCAAAAGATCGTAAATGCAGCATTGTTTATAACATAAATGAATTGAGGGTTCTAGTATCATAGACAAAAAGAAAATCCCATACCCTGATTCTTGATAGTATGATCATGTGATTAAAGTCAATTCAGCTCAATTTACCCTCTTGTCCATGCTATTCACTTATCAAAAACTACTTTCCTAAGGTGAACTACAAAATGCTGAAGCAATGCAACTTCCAAATACCAACATGTAAAGTTAAAACATATTTATATATAATGCTCAAGGTCACATTCTGCATTACACTGGATTTCACAACACCAAGTATGTGCACATTTCTGCTTCTACTGTAGAAACTATGTTGTGTTGCACGTGAATTAATTTAACCATCTATATACACGTTCAGATAACTAATATTTGCATATATATATATATATATATATGTGGCTAATTGCAGTGGAAGAAAGATCAAATGAGAACCATAGATATCTTGAGAACCCGAGAGCCAAATACCTCATGATGAATAACCCTGAATAATCATGAATTTCATGATTTTCATTATTCATGTTATCATGCATTTTCATCATGAATATCACGCATTTTTATCATGAATAATAAGTATTTTCATTATGATTTATTTCATCATGAATATCATGTATTTTCATTATCCATGGCGAGGGTATCGTATAATAAGAGAACGTCCCGGACATCTGCAACGCCCTTCCCCGCCTTTTTTTTGAAGGATTCATATCTAGGATTAAAATCAGGCGACCAACRAAATAACCTAAACAAGGAGCTGAACCTTGGTTTGGTGAATTGAAGTTGGCCTTAGGTGTAATAGGACTCCCAGTTACTGTACGCGATGGAAGGAGAGGGCTAAGACAAGGATCAGGATGTGAAGTGAAGGTCAACAAGTGAATAATTTTCATCATCAATATCTATCACGACATTCATCATGAACAAAGCATGAAAAGTTGGTTCCCAGGTTCTCAAAATATTTACGGATCTCATTTGAACTTGCCCCTACTGCAGTAAGCTGATATGCCAAAACACATTCATATGATGACAACTAGTTTTGAAGTAGATTAAACCTATGCTTCAGAGTAGACTCCTATAGCATAAAAATACCTTAGATATCAAGCTCTTTTTGTTCTTTCTCCACATCGACAAAGCACAGAGATCTCTAGTTTGCATGATGCGATCATTTATTTGCATCATATATTTCTTAAGTACCATTGTAATTTTGTAAATACCCCCACGATATAAATTTGTAACTAGCGGAATTTGCATCAACCATAGAGCAAATGGATCTACATTCTCATTTAGAATATTAGCTAACAATACCACTTGATCGTCAAGTTAGGGCCTTGTTTGTTAGCAGCTTAATAGGCTTAATGGGACTCACAACTTATTCGGTCAGCTATACATGACCGTGTGGTAGTGGCTTAATGATAGAGAAAGTGGCTTATTTAGTAAGTTTCTAAGGGGGAGCTTTATGCAGAAAGCCAAGTTTTTTTCAAACCAGCTCCTTCCATCTATGAAAAAGCTCTCCCAAACAAAAACCTTCCCAATCTATACAGACAGATTAATCCACACAGACAACTTTATCCATATAGGACTTGATGGAAAGCCAACCAAACACTGATTCTTATTTCAAACCTTTCCTTATTCTTTTTTCTATCTATCCACAACTTCATCCGGGTCCAAAAGCAACCATCTAAAGGTGGATTAAGACAAATAAGAAGGAAGCAAAGATACGGAAGAGTGACAACTGACAAAATGACTTTTGGGTTGAGTATATCAGAAACTACAAATTGGAGTCTTACCGAAGGTCAGAGACTGGAGATAACAGCCGATGAAGGTGAATCAGATGCTGCTGCTTTATGCGGGCCTTCTACTGGTACTGGTGTGGGAGGGGCAATATATCTTTCTTCCTTGGACGTAGACTTATAACGAAAACCAAATTTCATGCTAAGGACTATAGAGAATAGATGACGACAAACAAAAACTTTGGACACCAAATAGCTACCATAAAGCAAGTCTAACAGAAATAACATGGCATACAAATTGAAAAAGACCATGTTCAGCTTTATGGGTTCATGTTAGAAATCCAATAGCAGACTGCGAATTAACTCATATACGATATGGAACCTCCATTGGACAATGCAATAGAACAGTCCAGTTGAAACATCAACATGCATGATTGGAAGACTCTATTTTGAGTGAACACTCCTTCGGGACTGTTTGTTAGCAGCCTAATGAGGTTAATGGGTCTCACAGCTTATTCTGTAAGCTATATATGACTGTTTGGTAGGGGCTTAATGATATAGAAAGTGGCTTATTCAGTAAGCTTCTAAGGGGGACCTTTATGCAGAAAGCCAAGTTTTTTCTAAACATGCCCCTTCAATTAGAAAGACGCTCCTTCCATCTATGAGAAACCCCTCCGAAACAAAAATCTTCCCAACCCATAAGACATTAATCTACCAACCAAACAGCCCCTTACCCCAACCAGTTAGTAGTGGAAGGCCCTGTTTGTGGGATTTAACTTGAAGCAGTCGCCAACTTCAAACACACAATGTCAAAAGTTTCTCCCAACATAAATCAAGAAAACTTAACTGCTAAGAAGCACCATTTATTAGAATAGTGCACCGTTTATGAAAAACTAACGATTTACGACCCTTAGGCTCATTATCCTCCCAAATTAGATGTAATACTTGCGACTTTAGTTAGCAGGCATGTTCAGACTATTTTCTGCCATGTATGAGTTCCTTAAAACAATGGGAATTTAGATAAATTAACACAACATATGGTACATCTTTTTCACAGAATCATGTATAAATACAAATAAAGCATGAAGTCCAAAAGGTCAAGCAATCTTGCAAAAAACTTTAAACATAAAATTAAATAAATTGTGAGCTATACAACGAGAATCAACTAAAACCTAGCAAACCCAATTCTATATGCAATAGAAGTAATGATCTATATTTGGGAAGTCAGAAGAGATACCTATAGGTAATGCTAAAATCCACACTCAGTCAAACTATTTCATCTAAGAAGAAAATGAGGTATAAGAAAATTGAAAAGGCAAGTTCCATCAGAAGAAGTCATCGAAGGCCCCCTCCCGGTCACTTTCCCAGTTTTCAGATCCTGCACAAAGCAACCATCGAGAAAAAAAGAAATATATAATACAGTTTCTTTTGAGTTTTCCTGATTAAACAAAACTGGCACGTAGCTTTGAAACAAAACTAGTGGTAACCAAGGAATGATTGGAAAGAGATAGGCTATATGATTCGGCGAATATGAAAAGTTCTCATTCCTAGTAGTGACAATTCAAATGAATTGACACACCTTTGTGGGTCATAATGCCCGGTCCTTAGCAAGCTAGTGGTTAACGTACTGGTACGATTGAAAAAAAAGTTTAAGCGCAAACTAGAAAACTCGATAGAAACTAGACTGACCTGGTTTTCCAGCCACAGAAAGATCCTGAACTATCATCTGAAAAGCACCAGGACTGAGAGGAGAGACTGTCTCTGGAGTAGAATTGGGAGCTGGGAAAGTGAAATCAGAATCGGTGGATGTAATATCGGAAGAGGTAGATGTAGCATCGCCAAAAGCATCTCTAACAATGAATCCTGAAGTTACACTCGAACTGGATGAAGCATACAACATACTTTTTAGCTCCGAAAATTGGTCTGACATGCTGTATATCATCCTGAGGCACACTAGATACATGTGGCATTAGTTAAATGACATATCAGACATTCAATCTCTACTTACAATAAACTTTTTCAGGGTATTCAATGCATCCATATATAGGGTAATGAAAAGGATCTGAATTAGTTCATCTCATCCTAACCCTCCTTTCTCTCTCCCATGTCCTTAACTTCGTTTAGCTAACCTTTTTCCTTTAGCTATTCATCTCACATCTTCCTACTTAACAACCCAACTAGCTATCAAACAGGCTGCAGAAGATGTATATTTTGCATGACAAAAATAAAATAGAAGTGTACACCATCCTAGAACCCAGGTACTATTACACTTTTAAAGATGGTGAGTAAAGCTAGCGTAAGGTGAATGTTACATTTAATGCTATGTAGTAATATAAAAAAGAAAAATGTTATTTCTAGAATCCCAAAAGTCTTGGAATAATTGTATGGGACCTACATTTTAAAAAACTAAGGATGTGAAATTTTGAGGCTTTACTATGGAGTTCAATAGATGGTCCTTGTCAAACCTAAGAAACAAAAGAATATAGGATCATTATATGCACCTTAATGCAGGCAAACTTGGCATTGTATCTATAAATTTGAGAAGAATAGCTTGACTAGGCATAACTAAGCACTATCGGTTCATAAATTTAAAGCATGTGCATGTATCATTGATGAACCAAAACTAACTAGCGCGCTTTTTCTCGGCGCTTTTTAAATAAAATTATTAAAAGGCAAAGTGAGGATTACGTCATACAGACAGAAAGCCACAAGTCCTCAAGACCAACCAAAGAATCTCTTTGTGATGGATGCTGCAGTAATATTACCTATTCAAAGCTTCCTGAAGTTGAAGTACCCTTCTTTCAGTTTCTTCCAACTTCAGCTGCTTAATTTCGCTTGATTCCAGGGCTTCAGTGTACTTCTTTTCACATTCATCAGCTCTTTGTCTCTCTGATTCTAATAAACCCTGCATGCAAATAAGTACATAAGGTGGATAATTTACAGAACTGAATAACGTTGGAGACATGGTTAAAAAAGATTCCTAGATTGATCATGCTTTGATTCTAGAATGATTTTGAGGATTATATTTCTGACTGAGTGGTTGTTTGGTTGGTTTTCCATTAAGTCATGTATGGATAAAGTTGTCCGTGTGGATTAATCTGTCTGTATAGATTGGGAAGATTTTTGTTTTGGAGAGTATTTTCATAGAATTAAGGAGAGTGACTTTTAACTGGCAGGTCTAACTTGGCTGTCTGCATAAAGCTCCCTCCTTGAAGCTTACTGAATAAGTCTTCTATTAAAGAATAATGAGATGAGTTGGATAAATATCCAGATTTTTATWTTCTATATATAGAAAAAGAAAAGGATTCTTTTCGTAACATAGTTGTAAATTCCTATAACATAATAAATCAATGGCTTTTGCCACAAGAGGAAGACATTTTATTTTCAATATTCTTTTTCCCATATCATTAAGCCACTACCAAACAGTCACTTATAGCTGACTGAATAAGCTGCCGGTCCTATTAGGTTCATTAAGCTGCAAACAAACAGACCCTGATTCAGCCTTGAATCTAGAATCATTTCGAGTACTGTGTCATTCTTTCATCAAATAAAGAACACTGAACCCGTTTCTGCAGTAGTAAGATACATTCTTTCATCTAGTTTCTAAGTTGGTATCTAAATCTCTCTCCATAACGTGTTTCTCTAGTCATAGACCTGGTCCTCTCATCTCTCTGCTGCATGTCTGAAGTCATGCTCAAGTCAATTAAGACCAACCATTGTCATCCCCATGAAAAAGCACCTAATTTCTAAATGGTGATAACTTCCTTTGTTGGTCCCAATCAATCGAGATGTATATCTGCAAATTGGACAACATAGGGTATATTGCCGGGGACAAGAAAACTTGAGCAGAAGGTGATCCCTCGTGCTACATAGGATGCTAAGGAGCTGTTTGGTTGGTTTTCCATCAAGTCCTGTATGGATAAAGTTGTGTGTGTGGATTAATCTGTCTATATAGATTGAGAAGGTTTTTTTTAGGTTTTCTTCATATATGGAAGGAGCGTGTTTTTTAATAGGAAGGGGCAGGTCTGGGAAAAACCCGGCTTTCTGCCTAAAGCTCCCTCCTAGAAGCTTAATGAATAAGCCACTACCAAAGAGTATGTATAGCTGACTGAATAAGTTGCGAGTCCCATTAAGCTGCTAACAAACAGACCCAAATAATTCCATGGCTAGTCAATTCTATGAAAGAGGACATCAGTTCTAACTATATGTGTCACAACGACAGACTGGGATCATGTAAGGCAGATGTACTATGATTTGCGCAATCAATCTCAAGTTTTTAAGTCGACCTTGAAACTAGTGAGATTCGGCAAGGAAGTGATCCAAATGCACAAATGGAAGTCTACTGGTGATTCCAATCATTACAAGAAAACTATAAAAGACAACCAAATTTACAAGTTCCTTACAGGACTCTGTCGATTTTGATCAAGTGCGTGGAAGAAGCATTGGCAGACACCCCCTTCCAATCTCTCAGAGAGTTCTTGCTGAAGTTAGAACAGAATAAAACAAATGAGGTGTTGCGCTCAGAAAAGAACCAGTGGAGAGTCAATTGAAAATTCGGCTTTGTTAATTGATGCTTCTGTCTTCAAGGCTGTAAACTATCTGCGCAAGACTGATGATAACCCTCAGGTTTTTGGTTTGATTTCTGCAACAAGTCATGCTACACTTGTAAGACCTGCTAAATCGGGAAACAGAAAGCAAGGCGAGGAGAATAACGGTGTTTCTCCTGGTGCAAATGAAGCCACTTCAAATTCTTTCAACAAAGACCAAACTAATCAACTCGTGACATTGTTACAGACAAATTCTTTCTATTGGTTCCTTGGCACAAACAGGTAGAAAACCAAAAGTTCTCCCATGAGTAAAATCCTCTATGGAACATAAATTCTGAAGCTTCTGACTATATGACTAGTTCTTCCCATCTATTTGATCATACACTTCTTGTGCAGGCAATGAAAAAATTATAATCACCAACAGTAGTTTCTCACCGGGAAAAGGAAATGAAATTGGATGAGAAAATCAATCTTAACTCGATTCTTCATGTCCTAAATTAGCTTAGGGACTGTTTGGTTGGTATTCCATAAAGTCCTGTATGGATAAAGTTATTGGTGTGAATTAATCTGTCTGGATAGATTGTGGAGGTTTTTGTTTGGGAGGGTTTCTTCATATATGGAAGGAGCATGCTTTTTAATTGGGAGGGACAGGTTTGGAAAAAACTTGGCTCTGCATAAAGCTCAGCCCTAGAAGCTTACTGAATAATTCACTTTCTACATATCATTAATCCACTACCAAAAGGTTATGTATAGTTGACCAAATAAGTCGTGAATCCAATTAATCTCATTAAGCTGCTAACAAACAGGCTCTTACAGTCTTTTATTTGTTTGTAAACTATCTAAGGATTCTAATAATATTAGTTTTTTGGTTCACACTGAAGTTTAGGACAGAAACTCAGGGACGATGAATTAAGCATGCTAGCATGAATTGAACGCTTTTTTAAACTACTTCAGTGAAGTTACTTCCAGTCATGAGACAGCTAAGAGCCTTTGCAGTACCAGTTCAATTTTGTTAACGATAATATACATGTTAACTTCGAGGTATGTTCGGCCCATAATTTCAAGACGCAAAAAAGTAATTGGGCTTATCAGACTACAACAAAAGCAATATCCGGTCTTGTGTAAGACAAGCAGATTAAATTTTCAACCACCTTTTAATTGTTTCAGAGTCGGCTTCCCATGGAGCTTCCAACAATTTTCCTTTGTATGCCACAACTAGCCACAAAAAAATGCAAAAAAATGATTTCTCTAGTCACTTCGATCAACGAAACGTTTGGAGGCTGGTGCCATATTGTCTTCATTTTCCGTCGAGTGAACATGTTCATTCATAACACGTTTCCTAATGAGGTTGGCGAGAAATACAAAGTTAGATTGGTGGTTGAGGGTTCAATCAGACTTATAGGATTGATCATCAGGAACCTTGAGCTTCTGTACCTAAATTAAACTTTATTAGACTTTTATCGTTACTTGTACTAAATTCTGATTGATCTTTGCACCAACAAGATGTCAATAATGTTTTCTCAACGGTGGTTTGGAAGAGGAGTTGTTAATGATCCCACCACTGGGATTCGGGGAAGAGACATAGACTATAAGAATTCTTGAGTACCTACAAAGGTCTATTAGAAAACTCTAATAAGAATGTTACTACTCGATTGCTCATAATCGAGTTCAACATCATAGAACAAAACATATAAAAGTTGATAAGCATTTCACCAAAGAGAAGCTAGATGATGGGATAATATGTCGGCTATATCCACCATCCATAAAACAAATAGCAGATGTATTAACCAAGGGACTACACATAAATAACCAGTGTCTCCTAATTTTCTTTATCTTGCAGTTCTTCTCACTGATTCTGGTATATAGTTTAGTATTTTAGATTTCTGCATGTCCAGAAGTTGATAAATTTGAACATTTATTGAATACAGGTAGAACCCGTGCTTCGAACTTAGATCACCACCAGTAGCTATAACACTAAGATATTGTCAAAGTAGGGTCAGGTTCAGGGGAAAACCACAAAAAATGAAAATCTAAGGAACACCCTAGTAATTGTTCATCTGTACGGTATGCACATCTCCATATAAGTAATTTGCAAGTAATTTTTCTAGTTATGCACATTTTTTGGGGGTTTTCCCCTGAACCTCACTCTGTCAAAGTAAACTGTAATTGTAGTAGAAATGCATCATTGTAACGTATACGAATCCAGGGTGGGGAGAGAGTAGAGTTTATATGAGATTAACACTACCTTCAAGTTGTCCACTTCTGCAGTTAAACTTTCAATCTTTTCAGTATCCTCCACTGAAACAGTGGCTCTTTCCACAATAGACAATGCTTCATCAGATGCTTCCATTGCGGACTCATGTACCTTGTCAAGCATTGTGTCTTTCGATTCAGCCTGCAAGATAAGGTGATTTATGTTCGTCATGACTGATTCACGTCTTTCATGTCTAATAAAACATAAAAAATTACAAATCCACACTAGTGATAACATTCTGAAAGGTAATATGTCTTCAGAAATTTGATGCTAAATTCGGCCTCAGATAATTTATGTGAATTTGATAATTACATAACCATGAGATAAACAAATCTACTGACATTACTTGAGCCTTATTTTCCTAAAAACCAACTCTTTCACTCTTCAAGATTCTCGCTCACCTGCAAGATTCTTATGAGCAAAATATTTCTTTCTCAACTACCTTATTCGGAAGCTTCAACTTCATAAATGTTATTCGATTTGGTCCCAAAGAGAATGTCTTTCCCTCTCACTGGAACACCATTAGTTAAGGTGGATCAAGATCGATCCTCATGCTTCTTATATCCCCTTTCCCATGTGTTTTTATTATAATGCTAGTTTGCCTTCATCATATCACACAACTCATAGTTACTTGCAATAAATCTATCCTACTGTGTACATATCTGTCACTGTCTCATAGTCTTGAAGTTGAAGTACCCTTCTTTCATTTTCTTCCAACTTAAGACGCAAAATTTTGATTGATTCCAGGGCTTCAGCATACTTCTTTTCAGATTCATCAGCTCGTTGTGTCTCTAATTCTAATAAACCCTGCATACCAATATGCATATAAGATGGCAATTTACGGATCAATAGAGGAAGAGAGAGAAGAAAAAGAGAATGTTGGAGAAACGATTGCAGATCAGATAATCCTACATTCACGGTCTAAAGAAGCAAAATAAATCAAACATCTTTCTCAGTAGAGTACACCAAAACATAGTTCACTGAGCAGGTGAGATGAACATATTAACACCAAGGGAGGTTCAGGGAAAAATCCCCCAAAAAATGAAAATTTGAGGAGCACCAGTGTAACCATTCATCTGGACGGTATGCATGTGCATATAAGTAATTGAAGTTGTTTCTTGGTTGTTATGCACGTACGGATGTTGTGCACATGTGCATGCAGGACAAATTGCTTACATATTACTTGTATGCACATGTGCATACCGTGTGCATACCGTCTAGATGAATGGTTACCGGGGTGTTCTCAATTTTTCAATTTTTGCGCTTTTCCCCTAAACCTGACCCTATTAACACCCGTTCAAATTTTGGCAAATACTTCATACCTTACCTCTAATTTTGGCAAGTATAATTTTTTCTCAAACCATTGTCTTACTTTCAAACCATTCTTTTGAAAATTAAGTAAGTAGATCTGATCAATGGAACTCCTACCCTCTGGTGGATATATGTCACATTAAACGCAATAAATTACCTTAAGATTTTCCACCTCTGTGGTCAAATTTTCAATCTTTCCAGTGTCCTCCACCAAAACTGGGGCATCTTTCATAACAGATAAAGCTTTGTCAGATGCATCCGTTGCAGAATCACGTTCCTTGGAAAGCAATGCCTCATTCAATTCAGTCTACATGATAACGTAACTTCATATTTGTGATGATATGAATGCAATGCCTTTTCATGTTTGTTAATGCAATCAAATTTACATACGAAAGATATGATGCAACATTGGTTGTGCACAGAAAAGAAAGAAAATATGTTAGAAAACCACATTCACTTGAGAGTTGGGCTTGGTTGAAGACTAAGATTCAATGCTATCTATTGTTATGCCATCTTACATTGCTTTTACATCCATTCAAGAGAGCATATACTGCATGCTTATGAACTGAAAGTTTCTTTCTGTGACTAGCTTATTGAGAAGGCTTCATCCTTGCAAACAACTTTGAATCTTCTAATGTACCCCAAATCAATGCAGTAAAATCAATGCAACATTCTGGTTGTATTACTCACAATCAAAAGGTTAACAAAGGGTTCACTGGCTTTCGAGAGGCCATTCTCTCCACAGACTCCCGTCCAAAGGTTTACAAAACAGAATACCTTCTCCTAGACCTCACACCTATTTATACTAGATCCATGCATTACCAACTTGTACCATTCAGGCATTAGCTACTTGTACTTTGTCTACCCAGCTTACTAAAATGACTTGCTAACCCTCAGGGGTATAACATCTTCAAATGAGTATTTGTTTCCTCTCACTAGAACACCGTTACTTAAGATGAATCGAAGAATGATTTACATGTTTATTATGTCTCACTCACTTCTCATGTGCTTTGATATATTGCTAGCTTGCCTTCATCATATCACACAATTGTACTTGCAATAAATTTTCTCTATAGCGTACATATTTGCCACTATTTTATAGTGGACCAAACAAAAGCAATCATAATCTTGAAGTTGAAGTACCCTTCTTTCTGCTTCTTGAAGTTGAAGTACACTTCTTTCTGTTTCCTCCAACTTTAGACGCATACTTTCAATTGTTTCCAAGGCTTCACTGTACTTCTTTTCAAGTGCATCAGCCCGTTGTCTCTCTGATTCTAATAAAGCCTGCATGCAATTAGTCTATTAGGAGAGGAAGATAGAGAAACACAGAGAGAATCAAAGGAAAACACCACCACATAGTTCATCAAGCAGGTGAGTTAACCATGTTAGAACCAATTTAATTATTGGAAAAAACATCCAAAATTATATTGTAATATAGTAAAAGTGTGAGAATATGTGGAACCCTCATATCACTCTCCAAAAGAGCCCTTGAGGAGAAAGGGGAGGTTCCAACATATATACAGGAGAAATGGTCCAAGTCTAGGCCGATCACTCCAACACGTCCCTTCCAATAGAGGCTGGATGGACACAGATTGTCCCAGAGTGTCAATGTGGGGATAGATAGAGTGCCGAGTCCCTAGAGTAGCAAACCTTTGCTCTGATACCATGAACAAAGAATACTCTCTTTTCTCAGCTTCTTTGTTCAAAAAGCATCATTGATATGGTCTACTCATTGCCTCACATTCTACACATTTGAAAATTAAGTGAGCAGATGTGATCAATTTTACTCCTATTCCAAGTTATAACTGGAAGAAAAATCAGCTCAAGTGTTCTGTAACAATCATACAGTTTCTCTCAAGAATGATCTATTTCCATAGTCCCCTTACACATCATTAATATAAAAACTAAAAAATAATAAAATATGTCAAGTTATCTATTGACAGATTGGAAATCGAGATCATAAATCAAATCAAATCATAAAGATTTGATTGTATATACTTTCCTCCTTTAGTTATTCAAGTAAATACAAGAAAAGAAAATCCTTTTACTCTGTAATTACTTTTAACATTATCACTAATCTTAACCAACATGTTGTCTTCCCCCTGCCCCCTCCTTCCCCAGGCAGGAAATAAGAGCACCAGCAAAAGGTAAAAATAGTTAATAAACCGTATGATGGAAATCATTATTTTATAGATGTGCCAAAAAAGTGGAAATTTGTCATACATCAATCCAAATTATCAATTAAAGTAAGTATTGTTTTAAAAAACTGCACCCTCTCATTTACGTAGAATCATGCAACTATTCCAAAAAGTCTATATAATTTCAGTTCCTTTAGATAAAAACCCTTGTCTAAAGAGAAATAACCATTCCAGCCATTGTAACACCCCAAAGCCCAAAGCAACAGACTGGCCCAATAACTTCAAATCCAACTTAAAATCATGGGGGAAGTTATTGCTAGCCAACAACTTGAGGCTTATAAGGAGCTCACGAGTCCTATTTTCTATCCATGTGGGACAAGTTGTTACAGTCAGTCTCTATGGCTAAAAAGTCAACCAAAGAATTAAGATGGCATGCATTGTGCCGACAATTGCTTCTTGGTGGAAAAAGATTAATACAGATATGACATTCATTTACTCAATGTGAAGACATTCTCTCTAAAGCACATGCCACCAAGATGAATCTTAATCTCCTCATTGGAGGTGGCAATTTCAACCCATTTATCTAAAAACAAGTCAATTTGAATTATATTTTATTGATAATGCTTCGGCAAAAACAAACGGGTCAACCGGTTTAGAAGTCACTCAAAGTATACTATAATGTTTACAACCTCCTAAAGTACTTTATTAAAAAAATTGGATTATCATTTTAATGTAATTTTTTCTAATTACATGTAATATATAAAGTGTTTATGAAATTAGAAAATGGATAGAAAATGTCAGTGAGTCAACCCGACCCGGTTTGACCGCCTGTATAAATTTACTTGTTTTGACCCAAACCTGTATTGATCAATGACCAAGCCACCCGACCTACAGATTTTGCCACCTATGCTCTTCCCTCGTTGTTTAGATTCCCCAATATGTCTCCTAACTTTTTGTTGGTCCTGCGGTCCTTATCTGTAATTTTGGCATGTGGTTCAGTACTTACATTTCTGAATGTCCATGTACTGATAATATTGTATGTTCAACCACAATAGACGTCATTGGGAATAGAAGCACCAGAAGCTATCACACTAAGGGGCTGTTTGGTTGGTTTTCCATCAAGTCCTGTATGGATAAAGATGTCTGATTGTCTGTGTGCAATAATCTGTCTGTATAGATCGGAAAGGTTTTTGTTTGGGAGGGTTTTTTCATAGATGGAATGAGCATGTTTTTTAACACTGGGAAGGACAGGTTTGGAAAAACTTGTCTTTCTGCATAAAGCTCCCCCTAGAAGCTTATTGAATAAGCCACTTTCAATATCATTAAGCCACTACCAAACAGACATGTATAGCTGACCGAATAAGCTGTGAGTCCTATTAAGCTCGTTAAGCTACTAACAAACAGGCCCTAAGATAGTTTGAAGTAAGCCAACTTCAACAACCACAATGTGGTGCATATGCATCATTTTAACATAAAAACCAAGGGGTGGGGAGAAGCCAGGAGAATTTTTCTATAAAACAACAACATTACCTTGAGGTTTTCCACTTCTGTGATTAAATTGTCAAGCTTTCTATTAATATCAAATGCTTCGGCTATAGACTTGTTTTCCTTGGCAAGCACTCCATCTTCCAATTCAGTCTGCATGACAAAGTAATTTATATTTCTTATGATACAAACACGATATATTTTTTCAATGTTTGTTAAATCAATCACAATTACGGTCCACATTAGTGGCAACAGTCAAACAAGTAGTATGTATTCAGGAATTTGAGATTAAACTCAGACCCCATTATTTTATGCCAAATTGATTACCTGACCATTTAATAAACGAGTCTATTGATGGAAATATGAAGTCATGCATGGATCAAATTGCAAATTACAGAATGGTACTACAAAGAAAATCCCACCCCACTTTCCTCAGTTTCTTTAGGAAAAAGACTTTTGTCCAACAAGAAGTAACTATTCAGAATCTCTAGTCAGTCAATGTGGCTAATAAGCCAACCAAAGAATTAAAACAACATTTTTAGCACCCACAAATGCTTCTTGGTAGAAAAAGATCAACATAACTAAGTTGTTAATTTACTCGACGTTGAGGTTCTTCTATGAAGCAAATATGGCACCTAAATAAGTCTTGATCTTCTCACCTGACAATATCGAAATTCCCATAAATGTCTCCTCAAAATTTTCTAATCTTACAGTTCTTGCCAGTAATTTTGGTATATAGTTTAGTGTTTTACATTTCTGCATGTTCACATTAAACAAAGCTTCATCAGATGCTTCCGTTGCAGACTCACGTTCCTTGGCGAGCAATGCGTCTTCCAATTCAGTCTGCATGATAAGGTAATTTTATATTTCTGATGGTACAAACACAATGTCTTTTCATGTTTGTTAAAGCAATCAAAATTACAATCCACACTAGCAGTTACAGCCATACAGGTAGTATGTATTTGGGTGTTCAAGGTTAATCTTGGACCAAATTATTTTAAGCATCTACATTTCCATTGATGATCACGTAACCATGTGATTAACTAGTCTATTGATGGTGTTGGATATCGTTGGTTAATTAAGGTTTTTCTTTCTAGTAATCTAAAGTAGAGTTCCCTAACATTGGTTATCATTTAGTATATAATGTACTGTAATCTTATACTGAAATGCAAAATTCCCTCAACTAGTTACACGGTATCAAAGCCATCTTCAGGTGCCTGATCCTAGCCATTGCCGGATATCCACCAGAACCCTAGCAGCCGTCGGCACAAGCCGCCAGAGCCTGCTGGAAACCTAGCCACTGTCGCCAATCCTGTCGCCCTTCCAAGCACCGCTGCCGCCAAACTAAGCCCTGTTGCTGCTGTGGGAATTGTCGCCAGAGCCACCGCACCTGGTCAGATACAATCCCTGAACTGGGAACGAACCTTTTGATTGGCGCATGCTTTAAGCCTCAAGGTCTTTATTGCTTGTGATCTTCAGCAACACATCTTTGTGATTACAGTATTAGGAGGCTTACTTTCAGCTAGGCCACCCAAAATTAGCATCAGTCGTTATATATTGAATAGAAGCAAAAGCATCTATAACGGTCGGATGATAGTAAAAGGTCATAGCAAATCTTGTAGCCACTTGTACTAGAAAAACAAGCAAGCGTAATTCCCCATAGACAATAAAATATGTTTACATGGGGTGGAATATATTTACTAGTTATATCATCCACAATAGCCAGAATCTCGAGACATTCTTCAAACCAATCATAGACTTTATAGATTTGATGTGATCCCCTCTCCGAGAACCGTATATGACACTTTCATCTGTTACAGCTCAAGCAAAAACACCAAAAATACTGGTTGGACTGGATATGTAATACAAAGTTTTAAACTTCTTACTTTTCTGATTCTTGAATTAGATCTTCCGTCTGTTCACGAGTTAACATGTGAGTCATGTTACTTGGCTAGCTAAGCATACTGGTTATTCCTATCCCCCTAGCAAGTCTAATCTAGTCAAGAGCTTATTGGAGCTAATTCACTCGGATGTATGGGACTGTGTCCTATTACTTCTACAAATGGTTTTAAATATTTTATTAAGCTTGTTGATGAATTTTCTCGTGCAACATGAGTTTTCTTACTTAAATCACGTACTGAAATATTTTCTCTCTTTTATGACTTGTATGTTTTTGTCAAAACCCAATTCCATTAAAAAAAAATTGGATCTGATAATGCAAAAATTCTCTTCTGATTTCACTAGTTGTCTAAGCATGATATTATACATGAATCTTCATGTGCATATACACACGAACAAAATGGCATTGTCGAACGAAAAAACAGCAAACATGGCTCCTATTGTATTGATTCATTATAATGCACCACGATATTTTGCCAAGACACATTTTTTCATTCTATTAGACACTCTTTAAAAAAATATGTGGATGTGTATCTTATGTTCATGACCGTCGCTCAGAACATAATAAACTTGTAGCACGTTTTATCAAGTGTGTGTTCCTTAAGTATTCGAGTGTCCAAAAAGGCTATAGTTGTTATAGTTCAACCCTTCGTAGATATTTTAACATCAATGTCACCTTCAATGAGTCCAGTCCCTTCTTTGTCAAACCTACTAGCAATGTTTCAAAGTCAGCAAATCCAGTTCCTAACCCTTTTGAATCTTCTGATGTCCAGTCTTACGTCTCCCAGTGCTGGCACCAAATGTTGTTATTCCGACGGTCCCAACTCATACTTGATTTACAAAGGTGTGTGTTCGACAACACCAAAGACAAGTGCCTAAAACCCAAGAGTCCTAATGTGTGCATCATGATTCTCATCCATCATACTACCCCATGCCGCACGCGTTGTATAAAAATATGACCAGGTCAAAAGCAAACCAGTCAAACGGGACCGTCACTAAAATCTCAAATAGATTTTATTTGTAACAAATTGAACATGATTAACATATATGTTTCAACTTGAGGAGTGTTAGATATTGTTAGTTAATTAGGGTTTTGCTTCCTAGTAATATAAAGTAAAGCTCCCTAATACAATACAGGTATTCATAAAGTATATAATGTCTTGTAATCTTAATTGAAATGGAAGAGAATAAATTCCCTCAATCACTTAAAGATGGCAACAAATCACTTCTTCTGACACCTAACCTATCCTAAAGAGGTTTGCATCAAGTGCTCAACTATTTGAAATGCTAGTGATTGAGCTAGATATAAGATCACTAAATAAATACTGAGGAATGAATTAGACACAAAAACCTGGAAGAGTTTTAACAGATATAAACCAAGGGGAAGGGAGAGATGAGAAATTTTATATTAAGCCAACATTACGGGGAGATTTTTCACTTCGGAAATTACACCTCCAATCTTCTCACCGTCCTCCACAAAAACTAGGGATTCTTTCAAAATAGATGAAACTTCATCAGGTACCTCCAACGTAGACTCATGTTCCTTAGCAAGAGATAAACCAAAAGGGTTTTTTTGTGCATTGATTTCGTGTTTAACCTAATTACAATAGGTCTCTATATATAGAGATACTAAGTACATAGGAGTGCCCTCTACATTATACTAACTACACTCAAGTACATTCAGTCTAACACGCCCTCACAAGTTAAGTAACGTCGTGTAGCTTGGATCATAAGAATAGAAATCTAGGAGTCGAAAACGGCTTCGTGAAAATATCAGCAATCTGCTCAGTTGAGGAAATGAATTGTATACGAAGGTCTTCTTGAGCAACCTTTTCTCTGACAAAAATGAAAATCAATTTCCACGTGCTTTGTTCGTGCATGAAAGACCGGGTTAGCTGATAAATAGGTTGCACCTAGATTGTCACACCATAGGATAGGAGCTGATGGGGCACGAACACCAAGTTCACGAAGGAGAGCTTGAAGCCAGGTAAGTTCAGCTACAGTATCAACCAAAGCTTTGTATTCCGACTCAGTAGAGGATCGAGAAACAGTGCGTTGTTTGCGAGCGGTCCAAGATACAAGGTTAGAACCCAAATAGATGGCAAATCCCCTGTGGACCGACGATCATCTAGACACCCAGCCCAATCAGCATCGGAGAAGGCTTGGAGAGACTGATCATCATCGGAGAAGGCTTGGAGAGATAAAGTAGATGCCTGACAATGAGTAAGCCACAGTCAACAGTGCCCCGAAGATAACGTAGAATCCATTTAACCGCAGACCAATGTGATTCAGTAGGGGCATGCATTAACCGACACACTTTATTAACTACAAAAGCGATATCTGGCCGAGAAAGAGTAACATATTGAAGAGCATCAACGACCTGTCTGTATTTAACTGGGTCAGAAAAAGCAGGACTGTTAGCTAAAAATAGTGAAGTGGACGAGGTCATGGGGGAAGGCATGGACTTAGAGTTTGAGAGGCGTTGTAAGAGCTCAAAAAATGTACTTTTGAGAAAGGATGATGTCTGGTCCTTGAGGGTGTGTTTGGTGTCCAGACAGAACAGGACAGGATAGAACAACTGTTCAAGGTTTGGTAAGATAAAACTGGACAGAACAGAACAAGTAGAATGACCAATTTACCCCTAATGAGTTGTTTATTTTAATTAATTTATGTAATTTATTTAATTATAATAGATTAATAATTTGTTTTTATAACAAAATATATCAGTTGTTGAGAGGGCCTAGATCCTTTATCGCAAAAGTTGAGCCCAATTGTTGAATGATGGCGTCGATAGCAGCAATATTGTTTCCCGTGATGATGATATCGTCAACCTACACTAAGATGTATAAAAGAGTGACAGCATGACTGGAAATAAATAGTGAAGGATCTGTCTTGGAGCCGATAAAACCAAGGGTATGAAGACCCTTGGAAAAGCGGTGAAGCCAAGCCCGTAGGGCCTGCTTGAGACCGTAAATGGACTTGTGGAGTAGACAAACATTATCTGATCATTGTGGGTCAGTAAAGCCTGGAGGTTGCTTTATATAGACTGTTTCAGTAAGGTAGCCACAAAGAAAAGCATTTTGAATATCAAGCTGCGTGAGTGACCATTTCTGAGAAACCGCAAGCGATAAAATAACCCTGATGGTAGTGGTCTTGACAACAGGACTGAAGGTTTCAGGAAAATCAATGCCATGTTGCCAAAAATCTTTTGCGACGAGTCTCGTTTTGTAACAAGTGATGGCACCCTGTCTTGTCCTGTAAACCCACTTACAATCAACAACAGTAGTATCATGAGCACGAGGAACGAGAGACGACGTGCCGTTTTTAACAAGAGCGGAGTACTCATCGGCCATAGCTTGACACCACTCAGGAGATTTGTTGGCAATGGTAAACGAGATTAGTTCAATAGGTGTAGTGGAAGTGGTGGTATGATTAGCAGAGGGATTGAAGGGAACCCGTTGTTTAGGGTTGGGCCGGAGGTTAGGAGGACGTTGTCTAGGAGGCGGTGATGGTGATGTAGATAAGGAAGTGGATGATAATGGAGATGAACCACTGATATCTGGATCATGGTCTAAAGGGGAAGTGGCTTCCAGAGAAGACCTAGAGATGGGCGAGAAAGTATGTGGTGAACTAGGCGGATCAGGTATTACACAGGAGATGGAACGACAGGTGGAGTATTGTCGGCTACCACGTGATGAGATATCGAGGAGGTATAGGGGAATGATGATGTAAGTGAGGAAGTGGGGGAAGTAGGAATAGCAAAGGGGAAGTGGTCTTCATTGAAGCGAACATGACGAGCAATGTATAAACGCTCGGTAGACACGCTCGGTAGACAGGTCAAGGCAACAATAGCCATGATGGAAAGGACTATAGCCAAGAAAGACGCAAGGGATCGACCGAAAGTCCATTTTGTGATGGTTGTACGGTCGAAGGTGAGGAAAGCA